GGACATTATACTCAGTGAAATAAGCCAGACACAGAAGAACACATACTACATGATACCACTGATAAGAGGAATGAAAAATGGTCAAACTCTTAGAAGCAGAGTAGAATGATGGTTGCCAGGAATTAGGGGGAAGAAGAATGGGGAGACATTTGCATTTGAGCAGTCTGATGCTTCAGTCCACAAGTTTAATCACCATGCTAAATAGTTTTGGTATCACTCTATCTACATCTATTTTTTCTCTTCTTTTTAATTTCTTCTACTTCTTCATGTCTATCCCACTTCGTCCATTTTAATTTTGTAATATTAGGAATTTAGTCTATTTTCTTGGTTTTCCCTTATCGCTTCACCTGCCTTTCCCCATTTTTCACTTTACTACTGTTTCTGTTTGCCTCTGTCCACATTGCCAGTGGCCAAATAGATGGATTTAAGAGCTTTCTGGTTACAAAAATGGCCAACCACAGGCCTTTTAGTAGTATCTTTTATATCTCCAGATTTCTCCTATAATAACCCACCTAATTGTAATCATTTCAACTTTGGGGTTATTTGGATTTGAGATAAATGAGTTTTAAAAATTCATCCCAAAGGCAAGTAAATGACCCAGGGCCAAATTTGCATAAGCTGACTTTGCAGTGGTACTTTTCTTTATAAACCAAATTTGTCTACTGACCTAGCATCTTTTTAGAATTTATACAGGAGTATGTATGAAAAATGATTAGGTCAAGAAGGCCCTACTTGTTAATAGAAACAAATTCATTAACTATGTGACAAAACTGCCGAAAATGTTACCCAGGAAATAAAATAAATGTGACAGCAGCGTAATTCTCTGCAATTCTCACCCTTTCTACACCATTTGGCATGATAAGCAGTCACTACTGAAGACAAATGAAGGTTTGGGAGAGTAGAAACAAGGTAATATTTGCGTGAAAATGAATCAAGAAAACTGACTCTGAATCCATTATGGTGAGAAGTGCCAGAAGGCCCTTTTTAGAATGGGGCCATATTTCCCTTTGGATAATTATACCATCCAATGTAAATGGATAGAAAAAGTGTAAACAGTTCTATTTACCACCAAGAATCTTAGACAGTTCATAAGCAGAATTTAACATTTGTACTGCAGAAGAGTCAAAGCGGTGAAAGGGTCCCTGAAAATTGCTGTAAGGTTAATTCAGTGAGGGAATGAAATGAGTAGACAGGTCATGATGAACTAAATTCACTGGTTGTTTCCTTTGGACGTGCAAGGTCTCATTTTTTTTGGCTCTACGCTTCTTTTGCACATTTTTCTCGGATGACATAGATAGAATTTTCCTGCTCCAAAATGTTTTTATTCTGTAAAATGTAGGTTAGCAAATCAAAGTCTTTACTTGGCTAGTGATTTTTTTTCATGTACTCTGCTTTTAGTAAAAGGAGCAAAATAAGAAGAAACCCAACAGGTTTCCAAAAGCAGTTTCCCAGGGCAGTCCAGATTTTTGTCAATATCATCTACCTCCAATGATCTTATCCAGCAAATCTAGGGAGCAGAATTGGGTAACTCTCAGTGAGAGCAGCAAGATACAATCAGGTCCTGTCTACTGCTTACTAAGGCAGAAATGCATAGTTGTGTTTTTTTTTTCTTTTTAGTTGTTGATGTACCTTTATTTTTATTTATTTATATGCAGTGCTGAGGATCGAACTCGGTTCCTCACATATGCCAGGCAAGTGCTCTGCCACTGAGCCCCAGCCCCAGCCCCTAGGTGCGTTTTTTTTTTTTTTTAAAGGTCAGAGAACATGGATAAAACAATACAAAACAACAAATCAGAAACAACAGCATGAAAACTTTCAAAACTAACCAACCAACCAATCAAACAAACAAAAGTCTGACTAGTTCAACTGTTCACTAAGCCAGGAAATGCAATTAACCAGAACACCCCATTCCCTGGGCATTCTGGTTAATTGAAATACCACTTTTTATTTTAAACTCCCATTTATGCAACTCAAAAACCTCAATGGTTTAGACATCAATACTAGGTAGAGGAATTAAATGTACTCTCTTACTCCACAAGAAAAATAACATTTTAGGTATCATTGATGGAAATTGTGCCTGCTCGACCTTTCTAGTTAGAGAAAACACAAAATCTCTGGCAAAGCAGCTGTCCTCGGCTTAATACATATGTATTTGTATTTCTGCACCTGGTCCTGGCACACAGGACGAGCGTCTCAAGAGCCAAAGACTTTATGTGCTTCCATCCTCAACCTACGTAAGAGACCCCAGTAAATTGGCTAGAGTTTATATTAGGTGTGGATAGGAGGAAATGCCATTGTGTTCAGTTAACTGATCATAACCTCTGCTGAGTCAGAGGAGAGAGAGAGAGAGAGAGAGAGAGAGAGAGAGAGAGAGAGAGGTGGAGGGGCGGCTAGCTTTAAAAATGCAGGGAATGTTTTCAGACTTTCTGGCTTTAGTTAATGCAAATTTAAGGTAATTTTTGACATATAAGAACAACACATGGAGGCTTCTCAAATATCCCTTTGGCCATAGGATTATGTGCTTCTCCAGTTTGACCACATATTACTGAATGTGTTCAAAACTTGGATTAAAAGCATCAAGGGTGCTAGACACCATGGCACATGCCTGTAATCCCAGCTACTCTGGTGGCTGATGCAGGAGGATCAAAATTTGAGACCAGCCTTGGCAAGTTAGCAAGACCCTGACTCAAAATAAAAACATGAACTGGGGATGTAGCTCAATGGTAGAGTGCCCCTGTGTTCAATCCCCAGTACCATGTGTGCATACACACATTCATCTAGAATACCATTATGTTTTATGTATATTAATTATAATACTAGGTAGAGAATAGACTTATTCAAAATGCTTAGAACCAGAATGGCTTCAGATTTCAGAGTTTTCAGATTGGAAATATCTGTATAGATTTTACAGTTGAACATTCCTAATGTGAAAATCAAAAATGGTCTCACGTTTGAAACTTTTTGAACATGTCTTTGGAGAATTTTTTTCTGCAACCAACTAGCTAAATTCTGAAAGATTAGTTATAATAATGCTAGGCACATATTCTATTCAATATTTTTCACCTATAGCAAAATGGTCATTTCTCTTCATAGAAAAGGAAATTTCAAGAGTTACCTCTGTCATACCAAAGGTAGAAAATCAAGGGGCTTTGCCTGGTACTGAGGCCTGGGTGAAAAAGGCTTAAAGCCTTCTTGGCCACTACTAGAGAATGAGCCCTGAAATATGCTGCCACTAGCCCCCCAACAGTACTGTGGCCTTCTCATGATGCTTATGAGGGGGCACTATGCAATCAGCCTGCAGGTAGGTATTCAGGACTCATTCCATGCTCTGCTTTTGTGCTGGGAGCTATGTATGACACAGTACATCCAGGATTCTGCCCTTGAGGCATTTACAATTCAGATGAATTCAGCTGAAAGATAAGACCAATATACATTTTTTTCAGATGATAAGATGCACATGAGTTAAGTGTTCAATTATATGGTATAGATTATACTTCTCTCAGCCTTTTACCAACTAGTGCTAACTTGGAAACGCTCTTCTCAGAGTCTCAGAGAACTTGTAATCTCATGTATTTTTATTAACTCCATGAAAAGGAGTGGGAGAAAGGCTATCCCACTTTCACAATTGAAAAACAAAAATGATTTATACCCGAGGGTTCTTAAGGGATTGGTTGAATGCTGCAGAGCCTCCAGCAGCCCTATACACATCCCACTATCCTTCCTCACGCACACATTTTACACTGTTTATTAGAACTTCCTAAAGTATGATTCTGACAATATTACTGCCCTGCTTAAAAGCGCCCTCAAACCAGTGGGTCCTTTAGCACAATATACAAGACCCTTCAAAATTTTGCCTCTGCCTACTTCTTTCAGTATTCCTTGCAAATACCCAAATCTTAACTGTACCATACTTTTCTCTGAATCCTAAATATTATAGGATGCCTCTGGACCTTTGTACATACATAGTCTTGGATCTATCTACAAGATGAGTTCCATCCCTCCTCACTATCTCCTACTCATCCTTTAAGACTCAGCTATGAAGACATCCCTGAAGTTCCACATTCCTTTCCCAGGCACAGAAAATTGATCTCTCCCCTTGTGTGTGTCCTAGCAGTTTATTCAAACCTCCGCCATAGCGTTCCTCAAATTGACTTGCAGGGATTACTTCATGTACCTGTCTTTTTCACTGAAGTCTAAGCTGTTTGAGAACAAGGACCGTATCTTATTCATCTTTATACCTACAGGATCTAGTACAGTGTTTGGGCACTGTGCTCTGAAAAAAAAATTAATTTAAAAAAACACAGGAATGATGAAATGTCTCAAGAAAAAAAGGATTATATTACTTTCCTTAAATAAAAGAGAAAAATAGCTTTCAGTTATCCACTAACAAAGTCAAACTTGATAAACTAGAAAAACACTGGAACAGATTATTAGAAATGGACAGGTCAATATCCAAAATCAGAAAAATTTAAGGGGCCCTGGCCCATTGCCCAACTGTCCTGCACAAATAGAAAAACATAGCATGGATTTATACAGAAGCTAGTCCTGGATCCAGAGCTGTGCCATGACTCTTTAAAAAAATGTAACAAAATAGGAAGCTTTCCATTAAATACATCAAAAATGAAGTTAGACGTTGCAGTGCTGTTTGGTTAGACACACTGAAAATTGAAATGACTTGAAACAACTGGCAGAGTGGGTGGCTATTACTCTGGTGAAATTTAGTATTGAAACACAGAAGATAATTCATTGATGTGAAACAACTCAGGAAGGTGGACAATATAATGTAAGGCCATAGTTAAAGGGGTTATGAGTACCATAGCATAGAAACAGACCGATGGACTCTGCACAGACTGACTTGATGTGGAGCATCGAGATATATATATGAAATAAACAACTTCTTCAACTTATGGCTACTTGCGTACAGCTGATGGGCAGGCATTAAATGCAGAAAGAACTGTTTGGTGGTACATTTGTCTTTGTAGTGACAGGCACAGGCGTAAATGGTGATTGCTGTCAGTAGTGTCATCTTTATATGTCAAAGACGGAGATACAAAAACAGCAAGATTAAGAGAGCAAATGCCTGTTCAGTGAGCATGTTCAGGCACAGGTGAGAGCAGTAGTTTACAAACTATGTTTCTTCAGCAGCAAAATATTTTTTCAAATGAAATTTTATGTCGAATCCCAATACATGAAACAAGCAAAATCAGCTCTGCTCTGGTTAATGTAAGGGGGAAAAGTGAGTAGAAAGTGGACATTTGGGGGTCCATAAACCTAATGTAGTTAGCCACCCCTTTAATCCTGTATTTGTGAGGCAATTTCAAGGAACTCTTGAGATAGGTGTTATGGGAATGGTTTCTGTATGGGGGACAAGTTACAATCAGTGACTTGGAGTTCTTTTTGAGGGGCTGGGGATGTGGCTCAAGCAGTAGCGTGCTTGCCTGGCATGCGGGCGGCCTGGGTTCGATCCTCAGCACCACATACAAAGATGTTGTGTCTGCCGAGAACTAAAAAAAAAATATTAAAAAATTTCTCTCTCTCTCAAAAAAAAATATTTGAGTTATTTTTGACTCTGAGGTCTATAATATCATAATCCTCTCTCTCTTCGGACCAATCCAAAAATCAGAATTATATTCCACACATAGAAGAGCTCTGGAGAACCCGAATAACTTGAGGGCTCAAGTAATAATCTCTTTTTTATTAAGGCATATTTGGCAATTAAAATGTATATACATTTAAGGTTGGCAATTTGTTATTTGAAATGCATACACATTGTGACATAATCACCACAATTAAGTTAAGTAACATACCCATTGCCTCAGGCAGTTGCCACTTTTTTGTGGGATGATACCACCTAGGATTTACTCACAGTAAATTTCAACTATACAAGAAAGTATTGTTAATTATAGTCACAGTGTTATGCAATTACTCAGAACTCATTCATCTTGCATAAACTGAAACTTTGTGTTTCTTGACCAGCATCTCCACATTTCTCCTGTCCTTAAGCCCTGGTAACCACCTCTCTACTTGTTTTTGTGATGCCACATATAAGTGAGACCAAGTGGAATTTGTCTTTCTGTGCCTGCCTTATTTCACTCAGTATAATGTCCTCTTGGTTCATATGTGATGTTGCAAATGGCAGGATTTTCTTCTTTTTAAAGGTCCAATAGTATTCAAGTGTATACATACACACACACACACACACACACACACACACATCTCAATCTTACATTTGAGAAATAATCATGAGGGCAATTGGATTTACTTAAGAGCAGAGTCCAGGTGCCAAAAGAGGCCCTTTCCTTCCTTCCTAGCTTAACATGCAAATTTGTATTGAGTACTCACTCTATTTTATACTCTGGGAACCAAAATGAATGAGACAGGACAATAACATCTTCTTCTAAAGGATCTCACAGAATGGCGGTCTTTCCCTCTGGAGATGGTGCACATTCTCCCTTGAATATGCAGTCCTTGCTTTGTCCCAGAAGCTCTCACTTTCAAGATGACCAGCTTTTTCCTTTGCAATCTTAAGATGGCCCTCATTCTCCCCTGAATGTATATTTCTTACTTTATCCCCCCAAAATGTCTCTTCCCTGAGATAGCCTATATCTCCCTTGAATGTGTGTCTGCTTTCCTAAATAAATCTGTGTCTTTAAAAAAGAAAGAAAAAAGAAGAAATCTCATGATGTAAAGGGGAAATGTGGGGCAGATGATATATAAGTTTAAACAATACATAGGTTTTTGTTTGTTTAAACAAGAAAACAGCATATTGTGACAAGCAGTATTACAAAAATAACATATAGTAATGTGATGCAGAGTAATGGGCGTATGCAGGGGCTTAGATATGTTGGCCAGGGAAAGCTACCAGGAGCTGGTGTTCAAAAAGAGACCTATAAAGTGAGAAAAATCCTCTGCTGAGATGAAGAAGTCTCCCAGTTAAAGGGACTAGCACTGCAAAGGCTCTGAGTTAGGAAAGAACTTTCCTAGTTTGAGAAGCTAAAAGAAAGCTAGTGAGGACAGAACACTGGAAATGAAGGCAAGTAGTATGTTACAAGAAGTCTCATGGGCCAAATTACCAGAGCTTGGAGACCATCACAAGGAGTTTGGATGTTAGTGAGATAGGAAGCCACTGGAGAGTTTTGATCAGAGGAGGGATAGGGTTTGAGGTAAACTACCTTTTATTGTACAAAGGGATACCATATAAGTGATCATTAGCACAAGGCAGAATGGGCTTAAGGATATCAGGAGGAATTTGGTAAGATAGAGGGGATTTGGGAGACAGAAGAATTGTAACAAGAAAGGTTGAAAAGTTTTATTGAATAATATAAAGCTAAATAAGTAGCCAGAAAGAGGATTCTTTAGCTCTCTGGAAGCTGTCAGCTTTGACAATTTACCCTTGGTGTCACAGTCACTGTGAAAGCTAAAGCTCATATTTAAGTCTCCTGACTCTCAATGTTCTTTTCACTGAATTAATTGCTTCTAATTGCTCACAGAAAAGCAGGAAAAAAATGGCAAAAAGCAAAAAAAGATCATGTCTTTTCTTAAGAGCTCTTCAAAATTCAATTTTTCTCTGTAAGACTCTAGCAGAGTACTTATGAGTTCGTTTACTATGGTAAGCTACTTTAACCAATTTCCTTTTGCTAACCAAACTTCATATTCCAACCTTAAAGTCTGACCATACATTTTCTCTGCGTCCAGAGTTAGGATGGACAAGGGCCACTGGAAAAAATACAACTATGGACCTATACTATCAACTATTTATGGTTCCCTTCACAGGTGGGCCTTCAAGGATACTCAGGAATTCCTTGACTTCTAATTGTCCCTTTCTTATTTCTTACACTGGATATCACAAACTTACTAAGACCCCAAACCCCCTCATCAAAAGCTCTCACATTTAGAATAAAACCCAAAGTCTGACCATGGTCTACAAGGCCTTGCATTATGTGTTCCCAGGCACCCACCCCCCAGTTCTGGGCATTGAATTCTGAGGTGCTTCACCAAAGAGCTAAATCCCCAGTCTTTGTATTTTTTATTTTGAGGCAGGGTCTCACTAAATTGCTGAGCTGGGGCTGGGGATGTGGCTCAAGCGGTAGCGCGCTCGCCTGGCATGCGTGCAGCCCGGGTTCGATCCTCAGCACCACATACAAAGAAAGATGTTGTGTCTGCCGAAAACTAAAAGAAATATTAAAAATTCTCTCTCTCTCTCTCTCTCTCTCTCTCTCTCTCTCTTAAAAAAATTGCTGAGCTGGCCTCAAATTGTGATTCTCCTGCCTCAGCTTCCTGAGTCACTGGGATTCCAGGTTTATGCCACCAGCCTGGCCCCCCAGCAACTTCTCCATCCTCTTGTACCACTGTCCACATTACTCACTCTGATACAGTTGCAGTGGCCTTTTTGTTGTTCCACAGAAATGTTCAAATGAATAATGACATGCATCTGCAGTTGTATGATGGCTTTTGAAGAACTGTCAAACTGTTTTCCAAAGTGGCTGCACCATTTTAGAGTCCCACCAGCAATGCATGAAGGTTCCAATTTCTCCATGTTCTCACCTACATTTGTTATTGCCTGTCTTTTTGAATCTAGCCATCCTAGTGGATGTGAAGTGGGCTCTCACTGTGGTTTTAATTTGTATTTCTGTAATGACTAATGATGTTGAGAATCTTTTCAAGTACTTACTGGCATTTATGCATTTTCTTGGGATAAACTTCTATTCAAACCTTTGCCCATATTTTAATTGAGTTTTTTTTTTTTTTTGTCTTTTTATCATTGAGTTTTAAGAACTCTTTACATACCCTGGACATATGTGCCTTATCATATATAGGATTTGCACATGTTTTCTCTCATTTTATTGGTTGTCACTTCACTTTCATTTTTTATGGTTCTGGGGATTGAATCCAATGCTTTGGACATGTTAGGCAAGTGGTCTACCTCTGAGCTATACCCCCAGCCTTTTACTTTCTTGGTGGTATTCTTTGAAGTTCAAAAACATTTAATTTTGATGAAATCTAATTTTTTTTTCTTTTGTGCTTTTGGTGATGGATCTCAGAAAGCTTTGCCTAATCCAAGGTATGTTTTCTTCTAAGAGTATAAAAGTTTTAGTTCTTCTATTTAGGTCTATGACCCATTTGTAGTTCATTATTATGAATGGTATGAGACAGGGGTTTAACTTTATTCTTTTGTGTGTAGATCCAGTTGGCCTAGCACTATTTGTTGAAAAGAATATTCTTCCCCTGTTGAATTGTCTTAGTACTTTTGTTAAAAATCAATTGACCATAATTGTGAGGGTTTATTTATGGACTCTTAATTCTGTTACATGGACTGTATGTCTAGCTTCATGCTAGTACCACACCATTTCTGAGTATTTCAAATTTGTTCTTTTAAAAGATTTTTTTGGTTGTTATGGGTCTCCTGCATTTCCAAATAAATTTCAGCTTCAGCCTTTCAATTCGTACAACAAGCCAACTGGAATTTTGATAGGGATTGTATTAAATGTGTAGATCAAATCTGGGAATATTACTAGTTTACCAGTGTTCTTTTTTGATACATGAACATTAGATTTCACATATATTGTTTATATGATTCGCAGTTGTAAAGAACTGTATAACTGTATAAGTGACAATTTTAAAATGTGAGATCAAATGAATTTTTATTTATTTTTTAAAAAATATTTATTTATTTATGGTACTGTAGATTGAACCCAGGGGTGCTTAGCCACTGAGCCACATTCCCAGCCCTTATTTAAAAAAAAAAAATTTATTTGCGCTTTTTAGTTATACATGACACTACAATGCATTTTGACAAATCATACATACATGGAATATAACTTCCCATTTTTGTGGTTGTACATGATGTGGAGTTATACTGGTGGTGTATTTATATAAGAACACAGGACTAAGTTATGTCTGATTCATTCTACTGTCTTTCCCATTCCCATCCCTCCTCCCTTCCCTTCATTTCCCCTTTATCTAATCCAATGAACTTCTATCCCTGCCCCCATTCGGCCTTTGATTTTCTGGGATTGTCCATTTAATGACAAATGGTTTAATTTCATCTTCTTTATCCCAGACCTTTTATAATTTTTTAAAATTTTGAGACATGGTCTCACTGAGTTG